CCCATGATTCCTCGCCCGAGGACACGCGTGGCCCGCTGGACGTGCCAGCCAACACGCCCGCGGACCACTCGAAACAGGTGCTGAATATTGCCTCGACTGCTTTTCGTGAAGCCGCCGCTTCCCCACCGCCGCTATTGGCGGAACACGGCCCAGATTTGGTGAGCGGTGATGTTTTAGTTGATTGCGATACCTCTACAACGCGAGTCCGCGTGCATAGTGGTACCGGAGCCGTGTGTACAGCGCCTGGTGTAGCCCTTTTGGACTCGGGCTCACCTTCATCTTTTATTAGTGATGCTTTCCTTGAAGCCATGGAGGCGTCAGGAGCTGCATCCGTCCACAGTCGCCGTTCGGTGCCCGTTCGGCAGTGGGGTGGTTTTGGCTCTGGCAATGCTCTTGAAACCACCTCATCCGTGCGGCTGTCCGTTCAATTTTTTTATGGTGATAGTGCCACCGCTTCGTTAGCGGTGTGGGTGTATGTTGTCCCAGCTGCCGCCATGGGTCACGCTCTCCTTCTTGGACGTGATAGTTGGATGCGTTTTAACTCTCGTTTGTCCACTACTTTGCCCACGCGGTCGGCAAGTGGACGCATTATGGAGAAACTTTCTCTGTCATCGGATTTTGCGGCGGGAGCTTCCGCGTATGTCGCTGGACCCTCCGCCCCCGGGGCATCTTACTTCCTGCGGTACGCCGGCAGGAAGGGTGTCTCCCTTTCCGATAAGCCCACTTTGACGAGGGTGAACCTCGTTCGCAACTCTGGCACCCCCGCTCTCACCGGCAACTATCTTGTCACGTTTTTACCGAAACACGGCGCCCTCTCGGCGTCGGACGCGTTTGTTTCGGACGGGCCTCAACACATCCCATTGACAGGGTGCGCCGAGTTGGAGCCAGGTGAGGTGCTTGGAGTGGCGACTGCCCCACATGTGCAGATTCCGCTTGCGTCGATTGATCCTACACCACAGACGGCCGAGGGTGTTGGGTTGAGTGACCCTCCGCCGCCAGCCCGTTCCGCGGATGGGCCGCCGTCTCGCGTGAATTATTTGCATTCAAACATCCCGGTTGCGCATCCGGAGATCTCGGATTCCCCCGCGGCCTCACTGCCGCCGAAAACGCCACCACCGGATCTGTTGGAACGCCTCTCAGAAGCGCAGCGAGTGAGTTTTCGCGAGTTGTGGCAAGGTTTGCCTGCACATTTGCACGATGTGACTTTTGATTTACATGACTCGGGTTGGACCCCGGAAGCCATCGACAGCCTCGCGGATGTGCTGTGTGACTTTTCGGATGTGTTTTCGCGGTCACCGTCCGATTTCGGTTGCTGTTCCGTGAAACCGTTTCGTTTGGAAGTGCCCCCGGGCGCGAAACCGTTGGCCTCGCGTCCCTATAGGCTCAACCCACTGGTGGAGAAAAAGGTCGATGCAATTCTCGATCAATACCTTGCTGCCGGTCTTATTCAGCACTCGCAATCACCGTGGGCGAGCCCTCTGGTTGTCATGCCTAAAAAGGACGGTAATCTGCGTTTGACCGTGAACTACAAAAAGCTTAACAAATTGTGCAGCCTTGGTCAACAACCGCAGCCGCGAGTTGACCATATCATCGATTCCCTGCACAAGGGCAAGGTATTTTCCATTTTCGATCTTAACTCCGCTTTCCACCAAATCACCGTCGAAGAGGACACGGTTCAGCTTACTACGGCGTTTTGTACGCCCACGCAACTTTTCGAGTGGCTCCGTATGCCTCAGGGAAGCTCCGTGGCACCGTCGTGGTTCACCATGGTCATCAACGAAGTGGTTAAAGGTCTGGACCATGTGCTTGCATACCTGGATGATGTGATTGTGTTTGACGCCGACCCCATCCACCATGTCGCCAACATACGGCTATTTTTGGAGCGTTTGCGCAAGTTCAACCTCAAGTTTTCTCCTTTCAAGAGTCGCGTCGGCGCGAAGGAGGCCGTTTATTTAGGTCACACAATCTCCCCTGCGGGTGTTAGTCCTCGTGCCGATAAGGTCGAAGCCCTCACAAAAATGCCGCTGCCTAACAACGTCAAAAAGCTGCGTTCCTTGCTGGGTGGGCTTTCGTATTACCGCAAATTCATCAAGGGTTTGGCCATGCGCGTGAAACCACTCACTGACCTTTTGCGTAAGGACGCGAGGTTTTGTTTTACGCCGGATATGGCGGATACTGTCAAAGAACTCTTGGCGAAACTGTCCGAACCTCCGGTTTTGGCTTTCCCGGATTGGGACGCTGTCGCAGATGGCAGCCGCCCTCTCCGGCTTTGCTGTGACGCCTGTATCGATGGTTTTGGTGCGGCCCTTGAACAGGAACAGGTCGATGGTTCAATCCGTCCCATTCTGTTCGTTAGCCGCGCTACGCTCGAATCCGAGCGCAATTGGACAGTGCTCGACTTGTAAGCTGGAAGTATCGTGTGGGCAATTAAACGCTTACGCGGTTATTTTTGGTCTACGCACTTTCTGATTTATTCGGATCACAAGGCAATGGAGAGCATCGTCAAGGTGGGTGAACACAACGCCCGCGTCCAACGTTGGCTCGAGTTCCTTTCCTCGTTCAATTACACCCTTGTCTACCGCAAAGGCACTGCCAACGCCAATGCGGATTTTCTTTCGCGGTTGCCCCTGCCGGCAACCGACGCGGATAGACACGGTGACACCAGTATCGCCGGTCCTGCAGACGACGCCACAATGTTATGGAGGAACAGAGAAATAAAAGAGGGAAGGGAGCAACCTCGTTGCTCCTGGCTTCGGGTACTCACAGTTGTTGTTTGATCTCTTGTTTAGCCTTCTTAGACCAGGTCCGCTCAGCGCCCACTTGGAGAGTGAGGGAGCGGGGCTGGGATTTTGATCTTCCTTCAAGCTACTTCAATACCCCTCAACGTCGCCAAATATCCATATCCAAAGAAAATTCAAAATATCCAATAAGCGCTCATACAACGTTCATGAAACGCTCGTACAATGCAAATACACTAGTTGCTCCATTACAAGAGCGCATCACCAGCACCGGGTGGAAGCTCATGTTGCTGCGCCGGCTTCGGCTTCTTAGGAGCCGCCCGGCCATCGGCTCCGCGATAGCCGATCTTCTTCTTCTTAGGCCGCCCCCTAGGATTCCCCATCCATGGTGCTTGCATGCTTGGCTTGCGTGGGTATTTTTTTGTGTTCTTCGGGCTGCAACGTGTGCGAGAGTTGTTTGTGCGTGTTGTGTCGCCCACCAAAGCACACCCACCCATTGTGCGGCACAACATGTTGAATATCTCGAAAACTAGATGTTTCCCAGCAAAACCAAAACCCCCAAAACCCCACCTGTAGATAGATCGACGATAGGGATCGTTTGCCACTGTTTATTTTGAAATCGGTCGGGTGGTTGTCGCGCTGTAAACGAATCAAGTTGATCCTCATTCAGTTATTATTCTCTGATATCTCCTGTAATTTCGAGAATTACAAAAAAAAAAAAATCCCCAACCACAGAATTCCGACATGTGTCCAAATCCGTTGAGTTTTTTGGCATCGGCAATAAACACCACCCTGTGAAAACGAATCAAGTTTTAAAGGTGTTTCGGGGATAAAAAGTCAAGGAAAAACAAAAACAAAAAAAAACTCTCCGTCACGCCATGCGCCTGGAAACAGGGCGTTTGCCGGTACTTTCAGATTTCGGAACAACCACCTGTGTGCAGAGAAAAGTTGTCATTTGTGCTGGGGGAATTTATGGATTCATTGTTGTGCACGGACTATAGAATTAGTACGAGAGTGTCGACTCGTTGTGCTGTCACGGCATCTTCCACGCACTTCTGCCAGTAGTGCTGGTTTGTTTGTTGATTGGAGTCTTGCAGGTCGAGATACATACAGCAGTGGGATTCTCGGGTTGTGGAGGTAAAAGTCTGGCTAAAACCACAGCAAAAAATTCTAGCTAGATTACTGCCGCTGTATTTTTGCTACAGCAGTAGTACACTATGTACTGCTGCTGTATACCAGGTATGTATATGGACTAGACGCCGAACGACGTCCGCGTACTTCGGCAACGACCTAACTAACTGGATGGGATACTTCCTGCCACGGCGAAGCATGCTACAATGAATGAATGCGATGCAAACATGCGTTCGTGTGTCGTGCGGCTGCCACATGTATGTGTGTCCACGATAGATAGATACACGCAGAGCTCTCGCGACGTTTTGTCGTTACCGCGCAGAAGGAGAGACCCCTCGGAGATCTTCCACATAATAAAGAGAGCGGCTCGCAATAACGCCGGTTTGGGCACCTCTACACACACCCCGCAATAGCGCCGGTTTCTTTTTTTTACGCACACACAAACAACACACCACTCCACGCACCTGCCCTGAGGAGGTTACACACCGTAGGGGTACACACGTGCATCTACAGACCCTACAGCTCCACGTAGAGGGGCACCAGCGCCTTGTGCGGAAGGTGAATTGTGCGGAAGATGATCGCGGGCAAGTGACCGTCAAGACTTACTTATACCCCCCGAGCTGCACCAGCGTTCACCAGCCCATCACCCGTGTTGCAAGTCCTCACAAAAAACGATTTTTTTTTTTTAATACGACAATGCGAAGGTGTACCGATTCTGGTAAAAGTCAATCGACGGATACCCTGCGAATCGGGTCGTCCTCCTTAACACTCTCCACCCACAGAATTTACCCTCAACTTGGAACCTCTTGTGGCCAGGACGGGAAATTCGATGGAAGTGTCACAAGGTTCTTTATATGATCGATTCCAAGAGGTGTTCTCAGGACTGACACACATTACATGGTGTCCATGGGAAAATGTCCAAGTCAGGAGAAAAAACGTGCACCCAAGGAGATTCGAACCAGTATCCGGCTGACGCCATGTGCGAAGGTGTACCGATTTTGGTAAAAGTCAATCGACGGATACCCTGCGAATCGGGTCCTCCTTAACAACAAGGCATCGATCACGCGGAGCCCCCACAGCGGCCGGATTCCTATGGGACCGCCCGTTCTTCGTCAACAACTCCGGCTGTAGTGGCGATCCAAAATATGGCCAACCCTTGAACGAAACCTTAGGCAAGTCTCTACAGCGTGGTACCATCTTAAGTCTGGGACGAATCGTTTTTTGGAGGTGTATAAAGCGCTGAAGTTCGCTTGGAGGGTGTTATCTTCCGTAGAGTCGAGCTCGTCTGCTCCGCATCTTGCTGCAAGGGAGAGAGAGAAAGGGCTGCCTGGAGAGCCAGCTGAGGCACAGCGGATCCAGCCTTCATCGGTTCACTGCCCTGCCGCAATGTGAGTAGTAGAGTGAGGAGTTTCAGCAGTAAGCAGGAGGACAAAAAGGCGGAAAACAGCAGATTTCGTATGCACACGAGGATTGATTGTCAACAGCAGCAGCAGCAGCAGCAGCTACCGTGTACGCCGCGGCAGCACACCCGCGCTTGTTCGCGCTTTCTACCAGCACAGCGTCACCGTATGTTTGCATGCGCTGTAAGGCAATCGTACTCACTCCACTCCCGCGCGATGGTGTAGCGACAAGATCCTTCTGTCGCGGCCGACAAGATTTATTGACGTGGTCCCCAAACCGTTTGAAATTTGAAATTTGGACGCTTGTTTCCTCGTGTGACGACACATTCCCGGGCTACTGTAGGACACAGGTACTTCAGCTGGTACACGTTCATCAATTGGTAGCAGCAGGACGTATATTTGCAGTTGTAATGTATTCATGCGACCCTCCTTGTGTTTTGCAAAGAACGACACCGCCGCAGCGACCCGTGTACAAAAAGAGTAGGCGCACTGGACATGAAAAAAACACACACCAACAGGCAAGCGGAGCAAAACCAAAAACAAACACAGGAGCATTTGTGTTGAAGCGAATACTGAACGTGTGTGCCGTGTGTCACTGACGCAGGAGGGGAGGAAATTGTGGGAAGAACGCCAAACAAGGCTGTTCGGTCGAAGGTCCTCGTAAGTCCACTGTTGATGGCGTGTCCGAGAAGGCCGCGGACAAACGCAATACAGAGATGTTGGCCACAGGATCAGAGACGCCATCGATGATTTATTTTCGAAGAGAAGTGGTGAACGCGCGTGGGATAAAGGCGTGACTGAGGCAGAGGTCCGACACCTAGTTTCTATGGCTGCCGGTTTGCCCGACCCCTTTGCCGGATTCAAGATAAACCCCACCCGACAGGTGAGCCCCGCCAGGGAAAATAATGTTGGAATGCAGTTTTTTATGGGCAAGGGCGCGATACTTCATGTTTTAGCACGAAAGCAGGAACCGACGTAGCACGTCCCCTCCCATTGGCAAAAAAAAAATCTCTTGTACGCCCGTACGAAGCGTCGGAAAGGGGTTTGTTCTCTGCAGCGTTTTTTTTCTCTGGTGAGGTAGGAATGCCAGCCGAAAAACATGAAACCACAGCCAGCCGTGTGCTCCTGGACATAATTTTTTTCCGCCACGAAACCACCCCGATGATTACGTAGGGTGATACGGGATGTTTCAACCTTCCTGTCGCATCATCGTGGGGCAGCAGCGGGGGTTTGGGCGCCCGGGTGAATCTGTTCCTCACAATGATACGCTGGATCTTTTCAACGGCATTACGGGATTGGACTGGCCGGCTAGTTTCACACCGGCCCAACGGTGCTTACCGGTGGTTGCCGCCTACGGCGTGGGTGGTACCGACTTTTCGCCCACTCTGCACTCGTTGACGTCACATTCGATGTTCAACAGCTATTTTAGCACGTTGCAGAACCCACAGGTGCACAACTTTGTCAAACCGCTTGGTAGCGTATCTGTAATGGGGGGCGAAGGTTGCGATTTGCAGTGGGATGAGGGCGAATGCATAAAGTTTATTGGGTTAGCATATTTCGTAAAGAACAAGAGGCTGTTCGACCCCGCACTTCCGGGTCGGCAGGTAAACGATCCGAAGCGGGATGGGCACCCTGACGAGTTGGAGCCATGGATAGACCACCTTGTTCAGTGGACCCACGTTTCGCACTTCAAGAGAGCTCAGTGGCAAAATCAAGCGCCCGAGTACGATGTGATCTCCAAGTTAAACGAAAGGTGTGGACGACGAGATACTGGTTGTCAACTCAGATGGACGAGAGGGAATATCCCATACCTGTCCCAGATTGGGATGGAAAGGGGTATATCAAGGACAAGGTAGATGGACGCGCCTTGATACGCCTACGCCGTTCGCCGTGGGTCACTGTGAAACCGGGCCAGGGTATCGCTGTTGTCAAGTGTAAGTGTTCTCCGAATAAACCCGCCAAAGGAGCCAAAAAATGTCATCGTTGTGTCTGCACTAAGGTGGGGTTAGGTCTTTGCTCGCCAATGTGCAACTGCGGTTTCTCTTGTGGAAAGGGCGGGCCAAAAAAAGTAATAGCAAGTGGGGGAGATGATGCGCCTGATGGCCACGGGGCGGAGAGTCCGGAAGATGACACGTCCGGGCAAAGGTCTAGTGTAGAGCGTATACGCGAAATGTCCGGACAAGGAACGTTGACAGATGGTATGGATGACGAGTCGGAGCAGGGGGATAGTGACGCTGCGCATGGTGGCGATGATGATAGTCTTGAAGAAATGGAGGAGGAAAGCGAAGACGTGTTGACGGCCTGTGGGCGCACGCAAGAAGATTTTGATTTGTATTCTTTCCTTGAGGAGGAGGATGGCTGATTTTTTTCCAATGCGATGCCGATGTCGAACACCCTATTTTGCGTGACCAGGCGTTCGGGGGGGGAGGGGGGTGCAATTGACCATCGTTCAGGTTTGGGCACAAGTGATTTTTTGTTTTTTGTGTATGTATGACATGCTGCGTGGTGTGTGTGGTGTTTTGTAGAGCAAAAAACAAGTGGAGGTTCGGCCGGTGTTTAAACATTTTTTAGCCAAATAACAACCCCAACACAACGTCTCAAAGCAGAGCCTGGCAACATCTATCCAAGACCTGGGGGAACAAACACTGACAGGCGGTACACCCGCATGAATAGTCAAGCTAGGACATGCATATACAACGTCCCTAGAAGGGCGGCCTGGAATATTGCCCGGGAAACCCCTCTCAAACTTACCGCCACTCCAACCAATAACTCAAAAGGGCGTATTCAAATACTACACCTACTCAAATGAAAGCCGCTCGCATCGAGTGACGCGGGCAACTCTCAGGGGCGAAAGACAAGCCTCGTCGGAACTTCATGCGATTCATTCTTACGCCACACTCCCCAAAATTCCCCCATCATGATGTGTGCCGGCGTCTACGTTGCCCTCCTCAAGAAAATGCACGCGGAGGGCGGGTTTTTTTGAAGCCACACACCCCGATCCCCACAAGGCTCCATGAAAGACAACGGCAACTTCAGGGCCACGCCTTTTTCAGCTACCGCCATCGCCGCCTTGACATATTTGATTGCTCCTTTGTAAGGGGGGCTGGTGACAACCCAGTCTGGACGCCGAACGCCACTGGAGAGGTAATCCATGTCGAACATCGGGGCACTGGCATCCAGCTTGGTGTCTGCCGCGGAACTTGGGTGGTAAAATCGAGGTGGCGAACGGGGCGATCTTGGGTTTCGACTGGACGAATATTAATGTTGTTCTTGTGGTCTGTGGTTCAGATCTCCGAACCCTTCTAAAGTCAGGGGGGCGGATATACCAGAGCAGGGGGGCGCGTTGTTCTTTCGGAAGGAGTTTACTTGTAGGTGGTACTAAGTTTTTAGAGAGAAACAATAGGAATACTCGCGTATTTTCTGCACAAATGATCTTGACGCTGAACGAATGTTTGAGGATGGATGTTCGTTGATCGGAAATGTGAGAGTAGAGGGTCCATACCATACCCAGCTGCGTTTTACCTGCAATATGGGCATGTTCATACTTACTTCTGTCTTTGCGAAATTTGTGTTGTCTTTGTAGGATCTGTAGACGGATGGATGGATGCACTGGAAGCACAACGAAGGCGAATTTCTACGAATTGATCCGTGTTTTCGAAAGTGAACGAAACGACGAGTGTCACCGATAGGTTTGGTTCGATGGATTGTTTATTGCTTGCAGTTGTGTGGGGGACATTAGTACTTTGCGGGTGTCGTTGCGGTGAAGTACTGAGAAAGGATGGACCAGAAGAAGAGCGTGTTTCAGAGAAGGAATGAAGGCGATGAGACAAGACGTTGTGAGTTCAGGAAAATTTGCATCATAGAGTTCTTGGTTATTTGCGTGTCATGGAGGAGTAGGATCTACGTTTTGGGTCGTAAATGGAATTATATTGACTTGCCGTGTCATTACGATGCATACGAGCAGGGGGGCTGTAAGATATACTCGTAGCATAGTAATGTGGTTGAATATGAGGCATGGATCTACGGAGATTGTAGGAGAGTGAGTTGTAGAAACATCCCGAATCAACCCCCACACCATCATTGAGACGAAAGATGGATGCGAACGGCCACGAGACAACACATCGACATCTCAATGACAACGCTCCTATCAATGAAGGGATAAGGCCAAGAAAAATATGTAGTGCTGCACAGCACGCTATCCGCAACAGACGACGGCAAGAGAAATAAAGTCAAAACCTAAACGCCACACACCACTCTTTTACGCGCACCCGCGCGTATAACAATGGGAGGAATGAGGGCGACTACCCGAGAGAGCCCCAAAATACTGCAACAAAACTCAAAACCCAAGCAAATTTCCGAACGAATACGGCCTTTGATACTGGACGCGACGTAAAGGGGAAGATATCAACGCAACCAATCTAGTAAAGCGTCAAAGAAGGGCAGGAGAAATGAATGACAGACGAACACACTGACAACAATGTCCAGCGTGTCCGAGAACTCAAACCGTATAGAGAGGCGGCCACGGCAAGACCTAATGAAAACCAAGAATGTAAAGCATGAATGATCAACGTCTGAGAAGCGATCTGACGAACTTGCCCTGGCTCGCTGGCAAAGCACAACACAGGAAGACTCAAATAACACAGAAAAATCGCAGAGATACACACAACAACACAACGACTCAAGGGCTCGACGATGATGAGGGCGTCGCCGGCAGGTAGCGATGACGGAGACGAAGTGGAACGAAGTGTGGATGACGACGAATGTCCACGGGAGAAGACGACGCCACGGGATGGAAGCCCGAAGTAACAAGCCCAGATGACACTTCGGCGATACGGTGGAGCTTAAAAAAAAAAAAAAAAATGAGTTGGCGAAAGGCGAACCAAGGGAAACACGAGAAACTCGGTGTTTGCCTGATCAAAGGCGAACATACCGACGAAACTTGGGGAACTCGTTGTTGAAGTGTTCAGAGGCAAACAACACCGACGAAACTTGGGGAACTCTTTTTCCAAGTGTTCAGAGGCAAAGAACACCGACGAAACTTGGGGAACTCTTTTTCCAAGTGTTCAGAGGCAAACCACACGGAGAAAACAAGAAGGAAAAGAAAAAAAACAAACAAACAAACGAACAAACAAACAAAATCCAAGATAGACCAGCTCGAACCTAAAACGGCGACGCTAGGAAGAGATATTGGGAACAGCCGACGGTAAGGAGTCAGTAATGGGAGGAGTGCGATCCCGGGCGTCGCCCAAAGGGCGCGAGCGATGTTTTTCTAAACACCACGATCCACAGACGGCGTCCAAGGCGGTGGAGTAGAGGTGCGCAGGCAGAGGGAGAACGCTGGGGCCCGGGTCATCCAGAAATCGAACGATGTACGAGCCGTCCTGATGAGCACCAATACGTCCTGCCCACCATAATCCGTCGCGGGCCTTGTACCACAGCCGCGCTCCTACTGGAAGGGGCGAAATGCTGAAGCGACGGAGCCAAGTCGCGTGAAGCACAAGGTCAGCCCCAGGAGGCAAATAGCGTTCGCCACGATTCCGGGCGAGCTCCCGTTGTGCCGCGCGTGTCCGAGCCACTCGATACGTGCGGTTACCCTGCTTGCTTTGGCAGACCTCTCGAGACCAGTACAAGAGGATGTGTCGACGGAATTGATCGAGGTCGGACTCCCGTTCCCAAGAAGGAGTAGTCAGGCCTAGCCAATGCGTCTGGTACAGGACAGCGAGAACGCCGCTACGGCCCCGCACCAATTGGTGTCCCGAAATGTAGTCGACCTCGAGGCGCCCGACAGGCACCGACACATCATCCGCGGTGACGTGAAACGGTGGACATTTATCGCCGAAAGAGTGCAGGACATAACGCGAAAGCTCAGCGGGTAGAGATTGGGGCAGGTCGTCCGTCTCGTATGGATTGCGACAGGGCTTGCAACGAAGGACAGATACGCGACATCGAGCTGCTGGGCCGGAAAGATCAGAAGGCAGGTCCAGGTAGAGGAGTTTACGCGCCAACGGGCTTCCATCTGGGGTGGCGTCGGCCGAAACGGGACCCACCGCAAGAACTTTGTAAGGCCCCGTCCAGGAAAGCGCGAATTTGGCCTTGAGCACCTGGTGATCCGTGTCGTTCCGCACACCCTGTCGAAGTGTAGCAGCCGTGTTGTAGACCCAAGCCCACCCGCCAACAGTAAATTGCGGGAGCTTGTGGATGGCGTCCAGCAGGGATGAATTACGGCGTTCGACTCGCGAGATCTTCAGGGCGTTGTACTCACGGACCAGGTCGTAGGCCCGGCGCTGACGATCGACAGCCAAGTTGCAGTACTCGAGTTGGTCACGGGCTAAGCTTTGATGACCACCTACCGTTGGATGATCGAAGACCGAAAGCGGAAGCCGCGGAATGCGTCCGATATGGATCTCGTTCGGCGCCAATCCAGTCGACTGTTTCACGGAATTGTTGTAGGCAAATTCGACGTGCGGGAGATGTACGTCCCAATCGTTTTGCTGTTCGTTGACGACTACCGCAAGCATCTGAGCCATCGTGTGATTGACGCGTTCCGTGCCTCCGTTGGTTTGCGGGTGGTAGGAGCTGGTGGTGACTTTCTTGATTTTCATCACCTCGTAGATCGCCATGGAGAGCTTCGAGCAGAAATGCAGTCCGTTGTCCGACAATAACGTAGTCGGACATCCCCACTTGGTCATGTACTGGTTGACGAAGATGTGAGCCGTCCCTTTCGCCGTAAATTCCGCCGCTGTGACCGCGAACATGTCGGCTCTCCGGCTGAAACGGTCTGTGAACAACAAAATGTAGGAGTTGCCCTTGGCAGTCACGGGCAGGGGTCCGAAGAAGTCGACGCCGACGACCGTACCAGGCCCCTGTGGCAATGGCATAGCGATGACGGGCCACCGAGCGGTTTGACGCGAAGTCTTGCGAGCTTGACACACCAAACACGCTCGAAGCCACCAACGCACGGAACGATCCAGACCAATCCACCAGTAGAAACGCTCAAGCAGACGTTGTGTACGATGAACACCGAGATGGAA